TGACATCACTTCCTGTCACTGACATGTTCAGGACTACAGGACAGGTGTGGATGATGACATCACTTCCTGTCACTCTGACATGTTCAGGACTACAGGACAGGTGTGGATGATGACATCACTTCCTGTCACTGACATATTTAGGACTACAGAACAGCTGTGGATGATGACATCACTTCCTGTCACTGACCTCTCCTCGTTTCTTGTGCAGCTCTGTCAGCTCTTCCTGATGACGGATCCTCATCTGAGCCATTTCCTGTTGCAGGAGGTCACTGCGGGCCGAGTCTGCAGGTCTGAGGGGACAGGAGACGTGTTAGGGGAGGTGATGTGTCCATGTGGACAAACRGAGCTGGGACAGATTTAGGACAGTCAGAATGTCTCACCCGGCCTCATGTCCTCTCTGGACATCATATTTGTCCGTCTGGTATCTCTCTGTGAGGACGGCCTGCAGGTCTGACTTCTCCAGGAGACGGTTGTCTGAAACACAAACAACACAGTCACACAATATGTCCCCACTGTGTGTGTGTGCGTGTGTGTCTTCTGTGTCCTGACTCACACTGGTGGACGATCTCCTCAAAGGTTTGTCTCTGGACTCTGTCTCGGAGCTTCAGCTGCTCTGAGATGTGTCTCTTCCACTCCATCACCACCTGAACAACCAATCAGAGCAGCTCCTGTTAAAACAGGTTCCGCCCCCTGGTTCACCTGAACAACCAATCAGATGACTTTCTCTGGGCTTCATTTGATAAAAACACTTTTTAACCCATTCAGAGCTGGACTGGACCGGTTCTGAACTGACCCACATTATAAACCCACACCAACAGAACTTTAAATTAAATCTAATTTAAGATTAAAAACTGAGATCGGGCTGTCAATCAATGACTCTGAGCTGAACTCTGCTGGACCGGTTCTGGGTTCTGAGCTGAACCACTGCAGACATCCTGTTTGCATGTGTTTGTAAACAACAACAACAACAACAACAACAACAACAACAACAACCACCACCACCACCACCACCACCACCACCACCACCATCTCTGCTGAACGAGCAGACTCCAGACTCTGATTGTGGTTCTGGGTTCCGGTTGGATCAGGACGGGCTGAGGGATCAGGAAAGGTACCTGTCGGGAAGCCGCGCTAATGTTACTGCAAGTGACGAAACCAACACGTGATCACTCAGGTGGAGCTCACCTGTCCTCTGTACAGCAGGGAACGGACCAGGACCAGAACCAGAACCAGAACCAGAACGTCTGGTTGTCTGCAGACAGTTCAGCTGCCCACACGAATCGGGCCGCGTTCTTTACATCGGCTGCCGGTAAATTCCCGGTAAATTACAGTGACTCAACACGTTAGCTTTAGCATGTTAGCTGCAGAGCTCCGCGTCCCCACAAAACAAACGGTGACGTCACTCACGAAGTCCGCGAGCGCCCGGGCAGGTTGGCCCGTCCTCCTCCGTCTGTCTCCGGTGACCCGGCTGCGGTCCTTCACGGTTCTGGGCCAGTAACGGTTCCGTTTGTGTCCCAAACCGAAACCAATTGCTGCTGCTGTCCGCTCTGCGCCATTTTGGCTCCGACTAACACTTCCGGGAGGAAGCGGCGCAGTGACGTCACCGTAACTGTGCTTTGATTTGGTTAGATGGGTTTGTTGGCGCCCCCTGTGGTCACAGCGAGGATCGCATTCATTTTAAAACTGATGAWTTCTTATAAAATATAAAAATGTGTAAATCTAATAGATATGTTACTTTGTCAGGGCTTTGATCATTAAACTGTAAAATGTTTAAATCATCTGTTTCATATGGTTGGAAATGAGATGAAAATAAGCTCCACAAATAACTTTTTGTTCCTTTAATATTGGCAGCATGTTGAGTAAATCACACATCCATCAGATATTCCTGGCTGCTTGTAAACAGAACAATCACTCTCTTTTTGAAGAACTGAGTTTGTAGTAATATATTGTAAAAAAAAAAAAAGGTGAAAACTTATGTCCCCTGATTATTAGGATATTGAAATCGTTTTTATCAAGAACAAAAATAAATTAAAAGAACTGAGTTTGAAAACAATGAATTTCAGGGGGAAACAATTTTTATTACAAGAAACAAACAAAATGTGTAACATTCAGTTTCCACCTCAACAATTTAATAGAAAAATATAAGTTTAATCCACAGATCTGTAAATGTTTTTATTATATTTTCAGGAGGTAAAAAGAGGAGTCTGATTCAAAACATTTTATTTAGAGAAAAGTAAACACTACAAATAAAAGAATATTGATTCAGAATATTTGGTACAACAGGATACAAATTCATCAATGAASTGAAGTGTTAAATGGTTAAAATAAAGAAATAAATACGTAACTTTAGCTTGTACCTATTGAACCGTAATGATTATTGATCACAGCAAAACACATTTTAAAGGAAATAAAACTTTAAATAAAAACAGTTTTAAAATACCCTTCAACAGTTAATGAAGTGATTGATGCTGCAGGTGGAACCAGGCAGGTGTATCACCGTTTCACCTGCAGGCTGAAAGTTTCTGATCAATCAAATCAAACAAGGATTACTGCTTCACCTTAACCCCTAAACTTCAAAATAAAAGCTGATAGATGTGCTACGTAAAGCTAACATGTTCAGGTCGGTCAGCTGATCAGCTCACTGATCAACAATCAATGATCGGCTTCAGCCAATCAGAGGCTGAGGCAGAAAATCAGAATCTGATTTAAAAAAAATACAAAATAAAAGTCAAACTCTGGATTTTATCATTTATTGATTTCGGTTTAAAGTGGATCCAGATTTCTGCTGACCTTTGACCTGAAGATAAAGTTCAATCAATGATCAATAAGTGATCAGAGGAAGTGATCAGAGACAGATCCTGCAGAGTTCTGATGATGCAACAAATAGAACCTTTTTATTCAGAAGGAAACGTTTGAAAAAGGATCAACTCCGAGGTGGACCCCGGTTGGATCTACGACCCCCTTTCAGGCCTCGGGTTCAGGTTTGGGGGTCTCGGGGATAGGAACGGAGTTCAGAGAGGACAGGTCGTCTGTGTCTGGGAGCAGCTCCTGCTTGTCGCTGTGGKACAGGAAGAAACAGGTTTGAGTGACAACATGTTCACCTGGACAGGTGTGCTCGTGCACGTCAGCAGGTCGTCATGCGACCCGGTCAGCCTGAAGGGGGCGCCGCTGACATCACATCATTACCTGGCAGAGGAACGGTGAGACAGGCGGTGGCGTCTCAGCGTGAAGACGATGAGTGTTGCCAACAGCATGACAGACATGACGGCCAGAGTGACGAAGAGGAAGAAGGCTGCAGGAAACGAGAGAGTATGAAGATCTAACAGAGGCTCTTATTCTGAAAAGACTACACTGGAGGCTCATTTATATCAGTCAAGGATAGCCCCGCCCCTCAAGTCAGAAGACACACCCACAGTCCGGAAAAAAGTCAAAAAGTCAGCAAAAAAACAAGATGGAGCCCAGACACCAGTTCTTATTGTGAAAAGTCTAGACAGGAAGTGAACTTGAGATTGACAATGGATAAGCCCCGCCCACTAAAACTTCAAAGACAAGGTCATACTAATGAAAGAGGAAGGAGGAAGGCTGCAGGAAAAAAGAGAACAGCTCCTATTGTGAAAAGACCAAACGGGAAGWTTGTTTAAAATGTTAAGAGATAAGCCCCGCCCCCTAAAGACTGCACCATCAGCGTTGACATTCATTTTATGATGATGTGACGTTTTTATTTGTTTGTTTATGCAGTTTTATTTGCACCGAGCAGAACCAGAACTTTGGGTCAGGAAGTTGAACCAGAGGACAGTAGCATGTCCTCGTCCTTTCAAAATAATATTAATAGACCTGAAGGAGACACTCACCTGCAGTCCAGTGGCTTCGACCCTCACCATGCTTATTAACTGAACCTGCAGGACAAGAACAGGTGAGACACACAGGTGAGACAGTGAACCTCAGACTTGTCTCCTGCCGGTCCTGGTCCCGGTCCTTACCCCGTCCACTGCAGCGGTCCATGCACTCCTCCAGAGAGTCAAACTTGTTGTCGTTTCCACCACAGCCGCCGTACAGGAAGGTCTGGCAGGAGGCGGAGCTTGGATCATAGTAGAACTTTGGGAAGGCGGCGCGGCAAAATCCTGGCTCAGGGCTCATCCCACAGAGTCCTGACACACACACACACACACACACACACACACACACACACACACACACACACACACACACACACACACACACACACACACACACACACACACACACCAATTACCCACAATGCACCTGGCAGACAGACGCTCTGTCCTTCGGGATCACCTGTGTCCTCACCTGAGACTTTCTTAGAAGACGGCAGAACTGTGACACCTGGAGGAGACAAACAAGAACTGTATTAGGAGATGGACACAGCTGAGACTCCTCCTGTCTCACCTGTATTCAGAGATGGACACAGCTTTGTGTCCATTTGTCTCACCTGTACAGGTAGCCTTGCACTCGTCCTCGCTCAGGTAGTTGTTCTCGTTTCCTTTGCAGCCTCCGTAGAGGAAGGTCTGACAGCTGCCCGTCTCCTTGCTGAAGAACCAGCGGGTCATGGCTGCTCTGCAGGGTCCCACCAGAGGCTCCGCCCCACACTGCTCTGATTGGACAGGTACGAAATATTTAGTTCACACAGTTCACCTGTTCTGCACGAGTCAGACATCAAGCAGGACCACCAAAACCACCGACCCACCAAGAACCAATGACCAATAAACACACCCCACAACCCAGAACATCTATGGATCATGGACCATCAGGAAAACCCCTCAAAGCCCAGAATTTCCCAGGACCAAGACTGGAACAAAGAGCCTGACCCAAAACCAAAGACCAAGAAACCCGTCAGCAAAACCAGTAAAAACAGGAAGTGAGACTTACTGGAGTACAGATCAGCTGACACGTCTGCAGGAGACAGAACATACATGTTAGAGTCTGAACCAGATACTGGACTAGTCTGAACCCCCAACAGATACTGGACTAGTCTGAACCCCCAACAGATACTGGACTAGTCTGAACCCCCAACAGATACTGGACTAGTCTAACCCCCAACAGTTACTGGACTAGTCTAACCCCCACAGATACTGGACTAGTCTGAACCCCCAACAGATACTGGACTAGTCTGAACCCCCAACAGATACTGGACTAGTCTAACCCTCAACAGTTACTGGACTAGTCTAACCCCCAACAGTTACTGGACTAGTCTAACCCCCAACAGTTACTGGACTAGTCTAACCCTCAACAGTTACTGGACTAGTCTAACCCTCAACAGTTACTGGACTAGTCTAACCCCCAACAGATACTGGACTAGTCTAACCCCCAACAGATACTGGACTAGTCTAACCCCCAACAGATACTGGACTAGTCTAACCCTCAACAGATACTGGACTAGTCTAACCCCCAACAGATACTGGACTAGTCTAACCC